GACAACCACTGATTATGTAGGGGCCCCGTGTTAGTCACCTTTAACGATAGCATGCAGTGTGACACTGCAGGTCTATTCTTAGTTTCTTCAATCCTATATATAGAAGACAAGGAAGAACCACCCTATTCTGCAGTGCTGGGGGAGGGGCGCATTAGTCACCTCTTTCGATCATGCAGTTGGAAACAGCAGGCCTATGCTTCCCCCGAACCTGCACGGATATCATCAACTGCAAGGCGTTCGTTTCGTATATTATTTATACTATTAAAACACGTCACAAGTCACCCTCTATCTTTGTACACTGCAGCGCCCTCTTTCGAGTAGTCTGTGCAGCGTACGCGTCAGTGCAGGTTGTTGAAAATAGACACAATGTATTTGGGAACCGATTGGTCACAATAAGATCCAACCCTGCGACCCCTGGTACCGTCAATATATTGTGTCTTACAGTGTATTTCTAGTTGTTTATAATCTCACATTACACTATACTTTGACGTGGCCAATCGTTACTATTACCACCAGTTGACCCGAGATTACCATTTTCTCCCACAGTTCACAGGTGCAATTCTGTTTTTGCTATGGAAAGGGTAAATCGAGCTCACTCATGCTATTATAATGAAGACGTCATCATCGCGTCATCACTTTATGCAGTGTAACTAGTCGCTCATCAATTGATAAGTGCGCGGTGCATTGAGTACACCATTACCACGTATTTGTTTTACGATAAGAAAGTTACAAGCGAAAAATAATCAGACACCAAGTGCTAAACTTTATCCCGAAGATTGATATTTCTTTTAAGGAAGTTTGACGTCATGGCAGTCCATTTTGACGTCATGTCCGGTCAATTCTGCGTTTATGGTGTTTTTATGTACGGTTATATTTTTTCTGAATAACCAATAGAACAAATAAAACGAAACATTGCTTGTTATACACACAAATTTCGATGCATTTGTTAAAATAGTTGTTTTATCTACTGGTGTTGCCTGGATACATAATCCGTGATCTTGGGCCTCTCTCCATTAGACCAACTCCACTGAACAGATAGTCAGGGCCATTCTCTGTGACATTGGTGCTCTCAATTACGTCCGGTTGTCATGACAACATCGGGTAGAGTCGTCTGACCTTCAGCGGCGCGTGATGACCTTTCCGTTTGAGCCTATAACGAGACGTGATTGGTCAATACATGATGACTCTCAATTTAAGAGCTCGAGTCTATTGTTTGAGTAGAATTCCGCCGATAATTTCTGGGATTTCTGATGAAGACACCCCACCCTGTCATTATCAGCGGCAGTGAGTGATAATGATTTTTGTAATTAAGTTTCACTTTCGCTTGAACACATCCCCGGTCTGACAGGAGACTATAGAAAGACCGGTGGCCCCCCGCTAAGTCACTTGACAACTGTCACCAACGCCGGCTCTAATTTGGACACGGGGATGTGCAGGGTACTTTCCAGTGAAAGGAATAATCTCGAGATACTCCGAACATATAGAATATAACGAGCTCGCAAAGAGATGGGGTAAATCTGACCTTTGACCTTGACGCGTCATTTAGGTCGAGAGCGTGACACTTGAGGGCTGTCTGTGAGAGGTTTTGCACGAGTTTAAAAACGAGATGTACGGTTTCTACGACTGGCCGTCACAGCACATTACGGACTATGACAGTATCTTACCCCCAGACGTCAGAGATTTCACAAGGATAACACTCACCATTTGTGTGCCCCGTCTGTATCTAGCTATTGAGTAATGGCTGAGGTATCAGTCGGCATTATGTGTCGATCGTGAGACTGAATGTAACGATTGCCTCCAGATAAAATGTTCTTTTACATCATAGTATCTCCCATTGCAATGCTGTAAAAAAGAGACATTGAAATAAAATTGACCGAAATCCTAAATTTCTACAATCGAGAAGATTTTCTGTTTTCTTGTTGGAGTTTTGAGTGAGAAACAATGACAAACTATTTGGGTCCCAGTATGAGTGGCTAGTGTCAGCATGTGTGTCCATGGACTGGTATCGTTGTGTACATTTGGAAGCAGTTGAACAATTAAGCTGTTATTCTTAGACATTACATTGTTCTGTTACAGATCATTCTGTAACATGCTTCAGTGTTTACTTATCACAGATCTACCGGGTTTAAACTTGTAATATTCCACTGTGCGTGTTATGGATCCCGGGAAAGTTCTCAGATAGACTCTGACACTTGTTCACTTCTCTAAACAAAAGTATAATGTGTCGTTAACGAAGAACAAATCCTGTCATTTTCAAAATAATCTAAACCTACTTAAACCATCACGATTTCAACTGCACAATACCGCACGAGCACTTCGTGCAAACACGACACAATGACATACAACTCGGCGTAGGTTTTACAAATATTTTATCATTTTCATATAATCAGTAAAAAACGAAATTTGAACAATGCTTTTGTACTTTTTCGTAAAATTGTCGATGCAAATAACTTAAATACGTTCTATAAAACCACAAAACCATTGTAAATACAGCAATATGGTGTACTGAAGCGGGGCTTTGTCAACTTAACTGTATCAAATAAAAGTGGACGATAAAAGACCCATTGTTTCCCAAATATTTGTCTGCAAACACGAGAAGGTGGTTTGTAAACAAATTAAAAGATATTAAATATCACAAAAAAGTGCGTCATACATACAGAGTCTTCGCTGTACGACAGGTGTAGGGATTAATTAAAGTCTGCTGGTTCAGAAGCATTAACAGCTTCACGGGTCGCTGACGAAAATTTTGAAATGAAACAAATTAGAAATGTGTCGAAAAATCGGTAAGTTTCTTGTAACAAGATTTAGAATTTATGTTGATATATGTTTTGTTAATATTGTTTGTATTTTAGTGAAAAAAAAACTATTTCTGTTAATTGTCAGTAAACATTTGGATTTGAACATCCGGGTCTCGGTTGTGTAAGGTTTTATTATTAATACATGACGGTTAAAATTCAAATGAGTGATATTTTCATAAACATTTTATCTCTGAAAAATATGCCATAGGATTCCAGATAAAATGTCCACAAAATGCTCGTAAGTTCTCATATTTCAACATAATATTAAAAAATAATTGTAAAAATTTCAAAACTGGAGTCTCCTTACAAATGGGCGCCAGGGTCTTACTATCGTGGAAATTTTAACAAGCTTGAAAACTTGGAAATAGCATCGCTTACCTCGAAACATCGAGTACACAATAAATACCTCAGGGACCTGATACAGGGTTTGACATTTACAACAAAGTGCGAGAGGAAATCTGACACAGTTGAATTCTTAGACTTTATTCATTTGTACAACAAATATGGAGGACGATCATCAGCGTATGTTCATCACTCTTGTTGTTGGCTCGGGTAGTAGTGTGCATGGGGTCTTTTATGTGCGAAGAAACCGGAATATCCGGAGAACAACCCACGTGGTCGGGCAGGTGACTAACCTGTTCACGTCCGATCGGGGATTCGAACCCCGGTCGTCTTGGTGAAAGACAAGTGCGCTATTCACTGCAATACCCTACCACCCAAAATATATTATATCTTCTTTTCTGCATTAAATGTCACGTGGATAGTGGATATATCGGTAGGTCTACATCACTACGTGATATCTGTTTACACCAATGACGATCACAGTCAATGGAAGTGTTCATCCCGACCGGAATTTAGCTCCACTGAGAGCCGATTTCGAGAAAATCATCGCCCCGATCATTCAGTCCCGCAGTCATTGACAGCGGATGCCTATGGGGTTGGTCCACACCTCCATATTTGGTATTGCATGCTAATTAAGACGACGGATGCCCATGTATCTCCGCCTCTTATTGAGACATCTTCACATAAAACACCCTGGGGTTATCTAGGTACAATGGAAAGTTGACTCCCAAGTGATTAACGCCTCTCGCTCACAACAATGGCGGAGTCAAATGTCGGGTGGTGGGAAAATACTTTTGTAGGAAGGTGTCACGTTTCTCAATAGAAGCCACCATCGGAAAGACTTCGTACACCGGAGCATCCATAATGAGATTTATAGATATTAGCAAGCTGTTAGCGCAGGTAACTACACAGTCACAGGTGTTACATATGTACCTGTCAATAAAGGTGAAATGTCACGCGGAGCCCGATTTCTTCTCTGCAATTTCAACGAGAATATTGAGTTTTCTTGTCACTGAAAGAAAATTTAATTAAAATATAAATTAATCGATAATTATATCGGTGTTGGTCTTATTTGAAAATAGAGCAAGCCTCACAATTTCATATTTTAAAAGCTTCTGTAGAAGGTGGTGTTTCGGTATTGTTTGATTACAAGAAATCAAATTAAATCTACTTAAATTTGGATTCTGATATTTTCACTCCACCCCAACCCCCTCTTTTATTTAAAACGTTGAAACGATGACTGTGTCTATAGTTCGTTTAGACCGTGTGAAATTTTCAGCTCAATTATAAATTCATTCAAACACTTCCATTGCCACGTATAAATGAACAACAACACTACCTGGTGATCACTACCTCGTGATCTAGCAAGTCTATCGACTGTGGTGGACGATGGCGTGTCCAATGTGACAAGTTTTTAACGCTATGCATTTGAATTCGAGAACATTTCATCAGTATTCAACAAGTTATGATTATCATTCAAAAAAATAGCCATTAGCATTCAAAAACATACAATTTTCAATTCGAAAAACTTGTAGGTTGCATTCAATACGCTGTGTTACACACCCGCATCGTAAAGTGCATTATGAGTTAAAACTTTGATAAGGAATAAAACTTGAATGGCAATCCGATTGTGAACCCGTTCCAAGACGTAAAATTGATAAAATAAAAAATAAAAATTGCATTTCATTGCTTGAAATTTATCACTTGATTTCTAATTTTCCAATATTTGTTGAAAGGGAACGATATAATTACATGTTTCAGTGCAAATGTAAATATCACATATACAAATCTTTTCACCAAATTGGGGAAAAATGGTCGTGATGTAGTTTGTTCTGAATAGCTTTCATATATTTATTTCAGGAAGAATTAAGATATACCTACATCGATCTAAACAGATTGAAGTTGATGTTAATACATACTGACGTCACAGCGTTTACCAACTGACGTCACAGCAGTCAACAAACAAGGTAATATAATTGCATGTTCTGGATGTTATTTCTTTTGATTACATATATATATGTAGGAAGTTATTTATTTAAATAATAATAGATCTTAATGTAGCAGGAATTCCTATTCCATTGTATGTAATACATACATAATGTTTTAGTACTGTACAATATTGTTTGGTAGAATTACAGTAGTCAACATCGTTTTAATGGCGTCACGTCCTCATGTTTTTCGATATCATAATCAGGGGAGGTAATCAAGAAAGGAAATGGGAAATAACAAAAGGAATTGTTTCACGCATGCGTCCTTTTTTATGTCAAAACAATGTTATCTCGGGCGAGGACATGTTAATTATCCTGGCGGTCAGCTCTGTTGACTATTCCGGACAATAGGCATGATATGAAAATAGCCGTGATATAAGTCAATTATTGTTCTCCTTCGACATAAATTGTAAAATGATTATATACACGCAGGATTCTGGGGGCAGTCAGGGTGACAGGGAGTCACGTGACTGTCACTCACGAGTCAAACTCCGACAGTAACTCGAGCACCGTTCCATTAACAGAGGAAGCGGTAATTAGGCTCCGATAACGAGCGCAAGAATTTAATTACGGCGTACAGCATCTACTGTCCATCCGTCCGTCACTCACGTTCGGGCTAAACAATGATGGTCAACGGACCGAATAGGTATTTATCAGCGATTTATGACCACGTTTGTTTGCTTCTTGTTCCTGAAATGAAATATTGACACTAATAGAGCAAAAAATGTCGCTTGTAAAAAGCTGCAAGGGCTTTATTTAATATTGATTGTCTGCTTTTTAAATATCACTATTTTAGCCCTAGATGTTTCTTTAGGCCAAGGAACAGAAGTGTTTTGTTTCAAATTTCCGCTTTAAAAAGATGTATTACTTAATTTAGTGCTTCAGACTTTATCAGTGCTTGGTAAGAATTAGCGAAAGCATAGATTTAGGATGAGTACGAAGAAGCAGACAAATCGATTTTTGTTTGTCTTCGCATTCCTTGGCATTTTCAATTTCTCACATCAAAACTCACGAAATCGCATGTCATACTTATCCTGAAATAAATATGTTTGATATAGGCTACATTTTATTTTGGATAACAACATCTTGTTTATTGATGTTTTAATAAAAAAAAAACTTGAACCAGATACCAACATTTTTTATATGGACTAGACTTCTGTGCATCGGTTTATAAAGATTGTCACCTCGTAAAGATCAGTTTTGGTAAAAGTCCCAAAACCATCTTTCATCGCACCTGCCAATGTTGGTTCGCTGGACAATCGTGACCCCTGGACAGTTAAGGACCTATTTTGGGTGACTCGGCATTTCCCGAGTACTTCATTAGAACGCTCCCCTGTAGTGTGTCCGGCATGGCCATCAAAACTCCCGTACAAACGGACATTGTCCGAGTCTTCTGCTCGCTCGGGTTTCCCGGTCAGATGTTTTTGTTGTCCCCTGGGAATTGTTACAATCGACTACTTTAGTATTGTGCTTTGTTTGTTATCAAAAGTAGCGTTTGTGTAAATATGGCATGTGCTGTACTCCAGCGATCTGTTGTTTCCTATCACAATAATGGGGGTCCTCGGGGATGGGGACAAAGATCCCACAGGACGGGGAAACATGTATGTGGATTTCTCAAGGCATGTGACGTCACACACAAATATAGAATGACTCGGACTGTCTCCCTCTGATTGGATAGAGTGGATTATTGAGTTCGGAATGCATCGGGTGTTATCACTGTTGCCTCTCGGAAAGATTGCATAGAGCTCGGATTGTATAGTTTTGTCGTAGGGACAGAGAGTTCTCGAAATAATCAAATAAACACCCTTTTATAACAACTCATAGTACACAACCAAGAGATTAAAGATGCATACGAACGGCAAACTGCGCATAGCAACCTATATATTTAGTGTGGTCGACAGGCCTGACTTCATCGGTGCAAGCCAAAACGTTTTCCGGTTATTAGACGTTTGCAATATTGGACAGTTTAACGTGTGCTTATTCCTTTCGTAAAACGTTCTCCTGGCTGTGAAAAGCCGACAAAAGATCTCGAAAAGATGATTCATAAAATCCAGGCCAAAATTGCTTGTTTAATGTATGATTCAGCGGTTATTACCGTATTACTTCAGACAAATCCTATTACACGACGAATGTGGATTACGGTTACTTCATTAAAACCAAGAGAGGGATTTACCTTTAAACCATTTCACACAAAAAGTGTCCCGCAGGTGTAAGTGTTAGTCGAATTACGTATTATAAGTGTCTAATAACAGGTGAATTCTACACCTGACACTAGTTACAATCTTATAACACCTGTATTCTACACACCTGTTGCGCGTGTCTGATTATTGAAGAGGTGCCAGCCTCAGATCCGCAGTGACGGCGGGAACCTTTCTGTAGGTATGGCCCCTCGGGGTGGGAGAAGTGGTTAGAGACACGTATCTTATTTTGCTAAAATACACGATTCCTTTGATGACATATCTTACATCAATTTAACGAAATAAGTTTGATAAACCTTCTTAGTTGTGATTTTCGCATTTTTTAGTACACCATTATTTTCCCTTCCGACACACGCAGGCATACACACATAGGGAGATATTAGCCAGGTGGCATATGACTAGTAGTTAGCGCCTGATTAGGAGGCTCTTGCGAATTCCTCTAAAATTGTATTGATTAGTGTATCTATGTACTTTAAAGCGCTTTAGAGTGGCTTATTTTAGCTAGATAGGGCGCTATATTAAATGTTGCAAATTATTATTATTTTAGGAATTAGTCTACGAATTGTAACTTCCGCCATAAATTAGCCTGATTTAATTTACGTTCTGGACCTTAAGGAATGGTTTCGTGGGTTAAGTGCACCTTCGGCAACTTTCGGCAAGGCTTAGTCAGCGTTTTGATCAATAGTGGATTTAAATTTTCTTGAAACAATAATATCATTGTACAATTATAGGTATCTCATCTAGTAGATATATCCTTTTTAGATAGCTCTAAAGTCCATACTCCGATAGTCCCGATAATGATATTCTTCTTTAATTATGCTTGAAAGTATTTTTGAACCTATGTTCCAAAATAGATAGAAATTGGTCAGAACTCGGGTCCTTTATCCCTGTTTAGTTAATAATATAATTTCGTCCTTGCATTATACCGTAATGGTGTTTCGTCGACATTATAATTGAATCCGTCGTCACAAATATCGCACCTATGTAGCCTACCACAATACAATAGACATAAAACGACATAGAAATTCCAATAAACACATGTATAACTACATCTAAACGATCCCGCCCCCTCCTCAAGTAGAACATGTCGCTGAAGTTGTAAATTTGTCAGTGTCGACAAACTCATGCTTAGTTCCGCTTGTCAGCACGCCCCTACGTTAATCGCCGAACGAGTACGCCTTTGTGGGCTACACAATTGGCTCGGCAGGGGGCGGGGCGGCTATTCAGCGAACATCGCTGGAGAGCCTGCCACATACTTAAAACTTAATAGAACTTAAAATTTAAGGAGGTGATTTGGATGACATTCACTTCATCGCGGATTTGTGCCTGGTACGCTCTACTGAACAAATACAGGGTCTAAAACGGTCCCCTTCTCGTTAACAAAAGGTGCGCGCAGTAGGACACGGAAATAATTAGGCGGTGATTTGGCTGTCTCCTTCCGCACATATGCTGCTAGCGATCCGTCAGTTTACGACATCTCCCCCTTGTGAATCCGATGTTGTAGGTCCTCCGAAAATTCTTGAATTGTTTCGTTTCAGTGCTCTATACCCTAGGGATTCAGCATATACCCTAGGGATTCAGCATTATATAACAGGGTTAGCTCCCCAGGCTTCAAAACCGTGTTCGTCGACATTTTCTAAAGTGCAATTTTATGAAAAAGTTAGGTCCCCGGGTAATTATATTTGTTTCTCATGATGGACTTTAGACAGAAATCAAAAGCTATTTTTTTTATCTGAATTTAACGAAGCTTTGAAAAATTGTATGAAAATAAAGGCTATCTCATTCATTGCTTTCATCTCTATGATCTCTTCTGTCTTTCAAAACTCTCTTTTTATTTTATTTTGTTTTTTTCGTCTATGTTCCTTGTTTTCATACAATTAGTTTGATTGGCATATGTCGCTATCACTATCAATGTAATACTGTAGTTGAGGAGAGGGCTTCTATAAGTTTTTATAACTTGTGCCCAATCCATTTGATTATATCAATAAAACATGTTTAAATCAAAAGAAGGTTTCATCGAATTGTGAAAAGACCAGATTTTACAATAGAATGTCGTGCATGTCAAACCGTTTCTCATATGTCAATATTGCCAAAGTTCATTTTTTGTCAGAAAATGTCAAAACTTGAATATCTGCACAAACAGGATTTTTTTCAAACTCTTATCTTGAATTATCTTCATATCAGTGAGAGGAAATATGTAACACCTTAGCAGATGTCAGTCGTGTGCTTCTTGTCGTCGTACGTACTTCCGCTTCCGGCAATTTGCCCGAGGATATTTTCATGCGCCGTGGAATATTGTAACACCATGGCCTATACAAGCATGTCATGGATTTATCAGATTATAATTACCTTTATTCAATTTACTAATCGATTTTTATGACATCTTACCTGAGCACGGTATCTTTTTATCATGGTTATAGAAACACTGCCTCTATAACAATGTTGTCGATCAATCGCTCGGCGGTGACAGAAGATTGTCGGTTCTTGCCCTCTGGAAATGGCGGAGACAAATTAAAAACCTACCTACATATTTACTTGTACGTTTCCCGTCAATATACAATCAACAAGTGATACGTAACGTGACAAATCGATCATTGTATTGGACAAACGCTCGGGATTAACTGATCATAAAATTGACGTGAAGGACATCGGTTATGAATCAAAAAACTATTTTATTACCCAGGAATACAAATATATGGAGGTCGAGTGTGGAGTTATTGAAGGTCATGTGTAGAGTTATTGAAGGTCATGTGTAGAGTTATTGAAGGTCATGTAGGATAT